ATTACCCCTCATCTTTTCCATGTGACTCCTTGTAAAAAGGGAGCTCCCATCTTCTTTGTAGACACCCTTTAAACAGTGGAACACGGTGATAAGGTCTCCCCTGAGCCTTCTTTTCTCAAGGCTGAACAAACCCACTTCTCTCAGCCTGTCCTCATAGGGCAGGCTTCCCAGTCCTTGGATCATCTCAGTGGCCCTCCTCTCAACCCTCTCCAGCCTGTCCACATCTATTTTGTATAGCAGGGACCAAAATTGAACGCAGTATTCCAGGTGTGACCTGACAAGTTAAGAGTGGAGTGGGATAATGACATCTACCTCTGCTGGTGATCCCCTTGTTGATATAAACCAGCATCCTGTTGGCTTTCTTTGTTACAGCAGCACACTGTTCACTTGTATTGATCTTACCATCCACCAGAAGCCCCAGGTCACTTTCTATAGAGCTGGTCCCCAGCTGGGTAGATCGCAGCCTGTGCTGCACTCTTAGATTGTGTTTACCCAGGTGCAAGACTTTCTTTCAGATAGGCTATCTCCCAGGTTTGTAGCCAGAGAATCCAACACAGACTATGCCAGTTTGATTTAAAGCCTGGCCAGCATCCTCAGCCAATACTTATCCTGGGGAGATAAGTGAGATTTTCATTCAAATGGAGAAGTGTGCAAACCAGTTTGATAATGTTTTAAACTGGTACAAAGCATCAAGATTTTTTCCACTAATCTTATAATTTATGTTATAAAAAATTGTATCAAATCTAACTAGGAATCCTATTTTGTCTGCATCTTGTTCATGAGGAAATATGTGTGAAATTGGTGTGAACATGTTTTGTGCAATTTCCCCCTTCTGTTTAGACAGAACTTTTATTTATCCTGTTTAAGTCACTCATCTGCAATATGTGTCCTCAAGATCACTCACTTGGTATTCTTTGCATGTCTAGAAAGTCTCTATGTGAGTTTACTATGGCATTTAGAAAGACAAATCTTATTTAGTAGCTTACCTGCAAAGCTCTACACTGGCAAGTACAGACTCAACATTTTAGTGATCTCTAAGGTCTGGGACTCCTCCTTAATGGATATCTTGACTTTTTCTGACCACATGAAAAAAAATGTCCTCTCTTTTTTAACTGTATCTTAGCAGGTCTGCAGAATATCTCTCTAGAGCTCCACTTATTAGATGATTATATGAAATTATGCCAACTTAATTAAGAAATAAGGATTATGCACTCACCCTGTCTATCCTTGTGTTAATCATCCTGTGGGCTTCTCTGTCAGTCCATGCATAAATCTCTAAATTCCCTTTAAGTGGGGGCAAAGTTAATTAGGTAATGTAATTGGGATAGAAGAGACAAATTAATAACAGTCTTGAGGAAAGGAAGCAGATTTTTTGTACTTTTTATTTGACAACGGACAGCTGAACGTGTTCATCAAACTTGTGACTTAGCATAGCACTTTGATCTCTTCTCCAGGGTGGGGACCATCACGGGTTCTGTGTTCTATAGGAAAGGTTAGGAAGAAAAACCCAGAAAATTTGCAAGTGACCAGGCTTCACCATTTTAATGTGGTAAATAACTTGTGATGAATTATATAATCCTTGGTCTTCTAATGGCAATTTAGCCTGTGTTTTATGTAACAGTGACTCATCTCAGGTGGACGGTTGTGTGCTTTAGCAGCCTTTCTTGGTGATGGTGGAATTTGATCATTTTAAATATTGGGGCCATGTGAAAATTAGTCTGCTTTCAAATCTCTCTTTCCTCAGAAAAATGAAGATATAAACAAGTATCACAAGCATTCTAGTTAGTCTTAACATTATGAATGGATTCTTCTAACCTTAAAGGTTAACAGCACTGACTACATTTAGAAGTTTGTGATATATTGCACAGGGTTTACACTCCCTCTTACTTCTTCATCATATAGATGTGTGACACTATCCTCTTCAGGATCCAGACAGAATTGTCTATCAGCTTCTTTATCCTCTGAAAATAAAACACAACACCCTTACATTATAGTGTTTACTACACTGCAACACACTGTTGATTAGTGGCATTTTGATTGAATCATACATTTTTTTTGCTCTTCTGTACGAAAAATAACACAGACATTTTAGACACGTCTGCACCCTTTTTGAGCACTCTCCAAATTTTCTGACCCAATGTGGATTAAAGATTACTCACCACGTTATGCAATTGCTTTTCTGTTCAAGTGGGTCTGCTGCGTGCTAAACTGCTTTGTGAAAGCTGTGGATATCTGTACTTTCAGTATCACACTTTCACCGAAATAATGATAATTTCTGGAAATGTTGCTCTTGACAATAAGGGGCATTTGAAAAGTGAAAATTAAATCCTTGGTTGATTTCAGTACATTAAATTAGTATTTCATAATGTTTCCTCTAAAAAATAACAAGCTATGCTATTTTATCAGCATTCTCCAATGAAATGCAGTCCAGCAAGAGCTCAAGTAGAATGAAGGTTGAACATTAAAGGAGTGGGGTCATGCTATTTTATAGAAAAGAAAAAAAAACAGCAAAACACAAATGCCAGAGCAGAAAACGCAGAAACATGTACTTGTTGCCTCTTACAACTGCCTCAGCATTCAAGGGGTGGCAAACAGGAACACTGAATAAGAAGAGCAAGAAAGTACCACCTCCCATAAGGAAGCACAGAAGAGATTTTAAGGATCATCCTGTTTTCATGGTTTTATCAATCTGCACTTCGACAGTTACTAACTATGTTGTAGCAACTGCCTGGGAATTTGAAGCACTGATGAATTCTATGTGCGTTTGTGTCATATACTGAGCATTAAGAGTGTTTGCCACTGACAGATGCTTGTAATTCTAAAAAGAACTAGCTCTCCGCTATCTAGCATATTTACAGGTAGAAACAATATAGCATATTTGTTCCTTGTCCAGTGCTGCTGCTACATGTAAACCTTTACCTCTCTAGGTCCCTTTCCTTTCCTCTTCTGTCCCTTCATAATTTCCAGTTGTGGGAATTAGACTAGATAAGTAAAAAATGGGTTTTCATATTGATTTTTAATAATAATTTGTGCATAACTTGATTGCTGAAAAAATAAACTCATTTTTAAGAAACCCTTTGTTTGCTTTTTGGCTAAAAAACCCGAGTGACAGAGTGGGTAGGCGTGAGGAAGACTGGCAAATAATTCACTTGAGGCTTTAGGTTCTTCCACCTTTGCAGAAGTCAATCAGATGATTAACACAGTATTCCTTGCTCTAGACAGCTGTGCCTCCTTTAAGTGTCAAAACAGAAGAGAAAATGGAGTAGATATATGCAAAAAGTAAAAATATTCATTATAAAAGGGAAAAAATTAAGATTTTACCAAGGAACAGGCAAGCAAGGTGCAACACAGTAGATAATACCATTTCACAGAATTTGAAGGCAAAGAGCATAATTTTTCTGGAAGTGAGGTAATGTGCATATTCATACTATGGCTGCATAAGTGAGAGACAAAAGGAAAAGATGTTTTCATGAGCCAATGAAAGCATGAAGTACTAATTAATTCTTCTGTTAATGCCCTGGGCTGATTCATGATATCTACAATAGCCAATTGGATTTGGCTTCATTGGGCAATAAAAGCCTCTGAGTTCCTCCAATGGCGCTAAGTTTCTTTTGATTCGATGTGAGAATCAGGCATACATACTTTCCAGCCAGGGTGGGACTGTGGTTTCACCTGAAACAAACCTTATTCCAACCACTCCTGCAAAGGTGTTAAAAGTACACTCTTCTTCCATAGGATCTGTAAAAATCCACTTCTGTGTTACCACTAACAGGAATAAAAGAGATCGTAATAAAAAGTTACACAGATATTTAAGCATTATGATAATTTTGAATACTGAGGAGTTTTGTTTTGTCCTTACAGGCTCTTTGGCTGTACATACTACTTTTTTATTAGGTTATTCCAAAACCTGCAAAAACGTTATTGTCTTGTGGCCAGTATATAGATTATGAGAATGATGTTATAGCAACTCAAACACAAATGATATTTCTCTGTTTATCAGAAAGCCTTTTTCTGTTCAGATTTTCATGGGCTTGAAATCTGTTGTTAAATACATCATTATGCTTAAATATCATTGAAATAGCACCAAAGCAATGGTAATATCTGCTGAAAGCTGCAACTTGTAACTCAGCACAATAAATTTGCTGTAGGAAAATACAGGTGAATTAAAAACAAAGACATTTTTTGTTTTCAGAAAATTTCTTTTCAGCTTGATTGCTGCCATATACTAGATATCGTGACTGAAAAGTCTAAGTTTTCTTTATCAATGTGGTCCCCTGGAGAGACGTAACTCCATATCCTCAGTGTTACAGATGCTGCTCTTAAGCTCAACAGCCCTTCAAGCCTACTTGTAATTTCAAGGCTGTATTTTTTGGAAACTATTTCAAGTGGCAGGTTTCAGTGCTGAAGTGAAGGAACCTCTCTTCACCTTCCTTGCTTCTGCCCTACAGTGCGTCATCCCAGAACCTTGCCCATACGTCACCTGTGGTGAGGGTGAGGTTGCCACAGTAACGGCACACACTTGGTCACACACACCCCGCCCCCTGATAGCTACAGAAGCGTGAGTCAGTTTGAAAGTTTTATAAGGTTTTCATTTGACTGCGATGCACTGCCCAGTCATCTGCAGTTGTTCATTCTGCACTCACAAATCTGCTGGTAGCCCTTCATGGGGTTGCTTTTTACCTCCATCATGGTGTTTTTACCTCCATCCTTTGGGATGAAATCTCTGCAGATCAATCCTGGGCAGTCGATCACCAGCCCAACCCACACTTGTAGAAACCCTCTGGTTCATCAGCCATCCCACTGACACACCAGGCAGCTGGCCTATAACTAAGTTGATATTTACTTTTCAAAGAATGCGTAAAGCAGCGGTAGAGAGTAAACTGCAGAAGAATAAAACTGGAATTACCTATGATGCATTGTATAACCTGATCTTTCTGTTAAAAGCAGTCACTTAAGTTTCTAGTTGTACCTAACTTACAACTCTGCTCATTTTTTTTCAGACATGGAGATGACTTGATTGTGACGCCATTTGCCCAGGTAGGCACAATTCTGCCATACTTCTCACACAGTCTTGCAATTCAAAGGACAAATACATTGTTTTCCATTGCTAATATTACATAACATCTGTTTGCTTGAAATGGGTAAAAAGCTGTCTAAGCAGAAGGCATAAACATCCCACTCTTGTTATCTCTTGCTTAATGCTTTTTAATTATCTGAAATGTTGAAGTGCAACAACACAATAAACACCTCAGATACCTTTTCAAATGCTGTAGCAGACAGCCATGATGAACACAAATCTGTGTTCTCCATCATTCCCCTAGTCTTTGTAATTACAAGTTCTCTTTTTGAACATCTTTTCAATGCAACATAATTTTTAGATGCAAGATAAATTTTACCCAGCATAGGGTTATATAATATATATAACCCAGAATACTTAACATTGCTTTGCAAAACCATCTCTGTTTGATTTTTACATTCAGATTCTGTTTTTTTTTATATCAGTTCAAAATTCTACATAATTTAGATCAAAACTCCACAATTTTTAGCAATACAGCTGTCTTACTGTGTATGAAAAGTTAACATTCCTGAACTCATAATAGTGAGTTTTAACCTGTAATAGGAATGAAAGTTAATTTGTTGTAACTACAGGGGTAAAAAATCTGGAAATTGTATGTGATTGAACATAAATGGAAAGAGAAAGTTTAGGTCACACCGCGGTCTTAACTGTTAATAAGGTACCCAACTTAAGTCTGAATATGCAGGTTGCTTTAATCTAGTGATAAGTTGTTAAAATTATTAACATTAGTTTAATAGGTTATGATGTATTTAATTATATTTTAAAAACATACCCTTTATAAAACTCTATGATCAAATCCTTAATATGAAGAATACCTTCATCATACATTAACAGAGTAAATATTAAGCCAGGGCCTTTTCTAAGAATACTTTAAGATCTCTCAAATGGTAACCATACTTTAATGTTATGGGAATGAATAAATTACAGAAAAAGCAAGAAAAAACAAACAAACAAATAAACAATTTCTGGTTTTAGTTCCTCAGAAAACATAATAACCCTAACGCTTGAGAACAGAAAAAACACAAATAGTATAGTGGTCAAGCAATCCAGTAATATCTACTATAGCTGAGTTCATATTCATTGTCATCTGAATTTTTATTACTGATTATGCCACATAGATAAGGTAGGTTATAGGATGCCTAGAAAAACAGCAAATATTACACTCCCATTTATTTTTTTTCCCCTGGGACAATACACCCTATTTGTTTTAAGGGCAGTTTCATATTCTTATTGGTGTTGATGGATGTGCCTCAGCAATTATAGCAGGAGCACCTGAATGTTACTGCTATTTGCACCAAGGTGCCATAACTGATTATTTGAGAGCTTTTAGTATTTCAGTGCAAAGCCCTGCTAGCAGTGTTTTAAATCAACCTGTTTTCACTTGTATTGAACAGGAGAAAGAGCACTCACAGGGTGGGTTATCCCATGTCACATTCCCTGACAGGCGGAGTTGAGATGCAGTTGAGAGGCTATGCCTAATAAAGGGGAAGTGACAGCTGACTGACTCCTAGGAAAAACATAGCCCTTCCCTTAAAGTTACTTGAATATGCAATATCCCATCTCCCAGTGGGGCCTGTTCACAGACTGCATATGCAGCTAACCACAGGACCCATACCTTTGAGTTATGTTTACCAGTGTTGGGACCTCTGTCAGAACTTCAGAAACTGGATCCCATGCGCCAATCTCTAAGCATCTTACAAACTACACTTTTAATATCTTTATAGAGCAATACTTCATCACGAAGATGCATTTTTATGTTGTAAGCAGCAAAAGCGCTGTTTTAATCTGTTTAGGGCTTCCTGGAGACAGTAGATGAAGACATGCAGACATCCAGTTACTTCAATCCATCTGTATTTACTTCAATCAATCAGGAGAATTGTTTCATCTGATCATGAGCCACCTGGTGGTAGTAATTCCAATTTTAGCTTTTCTGTCTAGTCAGTGCAGCTGCATTTGAAAACTGGAGGCAGGGTAGCACGATGTGTCCCCCACATAGAATCCAGCCCGAGGACAAGTTAATTTGTTATTTTTACCAGAAAGGGAATTTTATAAGCTGAAATTAAAAAAATCCATCACAAGGATATTATTAGTTGCACTTCCCTATATTGTAATACACAGCAACTGCTGTAATTTAATTACTCATAGAATTTAGCTTTTCAAAATAAAATCATTTGGGTGATTGAAAATTCAAGGATGAATTCTCTAGGGATTTTATCATTAAAAAGGTTTGATTTTTTAATTCACTTGCAATTATTTGTATATAACGATTTTGAGAATAATATTATTTACTTAGAAATTAAACCTATAGTGGTTTGCAGGTGACTGGTTGCTTTTAGCGCACAAATCGTAACTCGAGAAACATCAAGCACAAGTAAAACCTCTGTGAACAGAGAAACTGTTACATAAAGCAAATGATAGTGAAAAATTGAAATATTATGTACTTATAATAGCTTTATAAATTTTAATATCTTTATACAATAAATCAAGTGGTTTAGCTCCACTGTAGCCAATGGCCAAAGTTTTTGTTGCCGCATTGATATGCATGTGGGGATGCCTTACACTTGCAGAACTGTGAAAACATGTGCATGAAAGCTAAAGCAGCTGGAATGCTGAGCAGATACTAGACATTTCACCCTTGAACTTACAGTTATCTCACCTGCCAGAAGAACAAACAGAAGGACATACAAACCAAACAGTTGAATCTCTGCTTTCTGAAAAAGAAGAGATTCATAATACCTCAGACAGTGGAAAAATCTGTTCAATGTGCATAGTAGTGGGCGGGGTAAAGAGACTGCCCCTTAGCTCTTCAGGGACCAGAGCACAGATCCAGCAAAGCTCATTAACCTCCACTCATAGCTGGCCCTGAACAACCTTACAGCTCAGCACCCTTCTTGTCCCAGGTACTAAGTGTCCTGTGATTTCAGATCCAGCACACACCTCAGGGTTCATGTTTTCACATGGCATTATACCTAGCTGGATACCCTTTCTGAAACAGCCCTATGCAGCACGTGCTGAGTTGTTCATTCCAGAGTCCAGCCGAAGCAGAGCTAATAGGCATGGCTGTACCTGAGATCACTCACCAAGGAGTCAGTTACCTTCATACATGTTCCCAGTTTTCAATGAACCTGACAAAAATGTACAGCCAATGTGAGTACAACAGGGCTTACTGAATAGGAACTTGCAGCCAGGAAAACCAACTGCATATTTTCATGGCCTGAGACTGTTCAGGGAGCCACATAGATATGTTTCTCTCATAATACTAGCACAGCAAGCCATCTCATCATTCTGGTACATGTAAATTGAATCCAGGCAGATTGACCAAAGATAACTGAAAATGGACTGCAGTAACTAAAAATGTGTGTCTTAGCTTAATAGGCCCAGCTTTCCAACTTTATTCCATTTATGCTTTCCTTCCACCTTCAACTCATCCTTTCCTTTTAATTCATACTTTCCATACTGCTGCAGTTTTGCTTTGTATTTTATGCATTGATTTTTGAACTTTTGAACTCCAGGATCTTCTTTCCCCTTCTGGTCAGTTCATGCCTGATTTCCATCTGTGTATAGTGAACATCTAAATACAACATTTAGTAGCGTCAGTGTACCCTGGACATGCAAATTTGATGGCATATATGATTATTTTTATTTCATGGTGAATGACAAATATGTGAGTTTACCTCCTGATATTTGGAAAGAAAAATATAATGAAATTAATAGTCTAATTATGCAACAAATGTATTTTGATTACCTTAAGCCATTTGAGAACTACCTATGGTAGCTTGAACACTTCCAGTCACTATTATCTCCTGAATATTTTCTGTCTGTTACAAGCTTTCACTAAATCCTTCTTTTCTTTTCAGCCCCCTCCTTCCTTCCAACCTCATGTGTAAACTTAAGCAGCTGTGGAAAGATGTTTGTATCCGCAACTCCTAGCTCTGGAACCCAAATTCCCATTTCCACCTTTGCTATTCCTACAGTAGGCTCACCAGGGAACCAGCCCAGTTTCGGCTGAGAAACAATGAGAAACTCCCCCCAAGGCACATCATTAAAGAGTGTTGCTGCTTCCTTCCATTTCCAGTCTGGTTCCAGACAACTTGTGGCTCCTCTCTGACATAAGCTGAACTACCTCTCCCTAGTTGGAGAGGTGCATCTTACTATCCTTACGCGGCACATAATTTGTTGCATTTATCCAGCTATCTTCACAAGAGAGTGCCTATGCCACTTATAATGAGAAGACAGTCATCTGCTGCTTCCACTAGGTGCTGTCTTGGATAAAATTAAGCCCAGAAAAGAAGTAGCTTATTTATACTACCTTTCCAGAGTGCAAAGTTTGTAAAAGCCTGCAGACTTTTGTGCCTGCTCAGATGCTACCTTCCTCTGAACTCTGATCTTCTGACTAAGTACCCAAATCAACTGCACCCTTTAAAGAAGCAGTTTTTATTTTTCCTGGCAGTCTAGACAATCTTATTCCTTTGTCCTTTAAGGTCTGTGTGGGCTGAACTGCAAATGGAAGATTTTGTAATCATTTCTTATGCATGAAGTAGTAGTCTTGAATGGGCTATTATTTTCCCAACATGAATGCTTTTACGGTAATTTCAAAGAACTAAGTAGTATTCTGTGAAAAACTTTCCTCCTCTTCAAGTAAGCTTGCCTTTATACAAAATTCTGAGTTGTTCATGAGGGAAAAAAGAAGTAAATTATTGCCCTTGTATTAAAGACGTGTTATTGTTAAGTAATGATCAAAGACTTCAGACAAACCAGTTCTGGAATCAATTTACAGTTGTTTTGCAATGTCCTTTCCTTTTATTTTCAGCACAGTTGAGCAGAGATATGTGAGTCCCACCTGTGCATAAATTTTAGACTGAAACTGGTTTGTTTGTTCCAGGTGCTGGCCAGCCTGCGTACCGTACGGAATAACTTTGCAGCATTAACCAATTTACAAGATCGGGCACCCAGCAAGTGAGTGTCTGTTCTTGGCCACTGAACTTTTTACAGTGATACTGTTTAAATGTAAACTAAGAATAACAATTAGATGTTAGGGATTTCAGTCCGTGCCACCAAACCTGCATAAAACATGTGGATGGGTAATAAATTTATTAATCCCTTGATAGCTGAGACAATAGCCCCCTTGCCTACTAATTGCTCTTGCATTGCTGCCCTTGCATAAATTTGTGAGTGGTTTTGTGCAATTTGTATGATTTTCAATAAATTAGTCATATGTCAAAGATCATTCAAAGATGATCATTCAGACAGAGTCTGAGTCTTGCAAATGAACCAAAGTGAGCAGACAACTACACTCATTGTGAGCTACTTGCATGATCTGAACCTAGAGCTCTGCCTAATTTATCCAAGATAACGGAATTCCACTATTCACAGTGGTTCATGATTATAAATGAGATGTTATAAATACAATCTTTCTCCAAGCATGTTACAGAATCGCAGTTAACATTAATATTAGTTACACTGTTAAATTTTGTAGTGGAGTCATTTCCCGTACCCAAAATGTGTGCCTCTGGAACTTAGAAGTATTTAGCATTCCAAAACCAACTGCCCACCATTGCATATGCAGTGCCCTTGGTTAGAATACGCAGACGCTGTGTAGACCCTGCTTGCAGTCATCCACACATCCCTACACAGCTGTGTCAGTCCAGCAACATTTAGCTTTCTTCAGTGGGCAAAGCACTCCACTGATCTGTTTGCCCTAAAGATTGTTGTGAAAGGTATGTGCAAAATAATGTGTGAAATGTATATGCAAAATAATAAAATGAAAAATAATAAGAAGAAAAGCATTTCAAGAAAGAGAATGTGGCAAGTGCAAGCCATGTTAGAATAATGATAACTATCTATGTAAATCAAACTTAAAGTATAAGCTCTAAGTATGATTAAGTAGGTTCTAAATGAACCTGTAAATTCCTAAAATACTGCTGAGAACTTTTATTCTTTTTTTTCAATGCCAGGGAATTCCAGTCCCAAATAATTTCCCAAGGAAACGTATTTTCTATTATATTCTTCAAGGATTCAGTCATCCCTGTGTTTATCAGGCATATACCTTTTTTTTCTTTTAAACAGACGTTCACCAATGTGTAACCAACCATCTATTAACAAAGCAAGCTTGACAGGTAAGAATTAGTATGACTAAAATTCCTCTGTGAAACCATCATGGGTTTCTAAATTTAATGTTTACTTATAAAAAATCTTACTGAAAACTGTATTTTGTAATACTAACCTTCTGTTATTTCATACCCTTGTATCTGTTTTTTCAAATAGGATTTTAGTCATATGGTGACTTTCGGCATTGCATCATATTAACTTTCTGATTTCTGTCTTATTATGCTTGTTTTAATTTAGATCCTTTCCAAATTCTTTTTCCTTATATACCAGTGTGTGACTGTGTTATGATTACCTTCATTAGTAAGTTTTTGTAATGAAATGTAGTAGAAATAACTGGCATGAGGAATTAAATGATCTTTCATTTGGGTCATAGAGTCCTGTAGCTATATTGAGGCAAAGCCTTGCCTTATGAGCCCTTAGGCAATAAGGAAAAATTTCCAGAACTGACTTTTCTGATTTAGGATTGTGAATTTTATCTCTGTAACATTTGTAGGTGTGTAAGAGACAAATAATTCCTTTGTAAAAGACACTATTATTTATAAGGAAACAAATTGGAAACAGGACCGGCTTTGTAGGTTATGTTAACACTTCTGAAAGTGTAAACATAACCTACATAGCCTGTGGCACTCCTGGTTATTATTACGAAGATCTTGGAAATCTGCATGAGATACACTTTTTTTAACCTCATATTTTTCACGTCCTGTTAATCCATGTGCTAATACACTATGTAGTTTTCCAGGTACTTAAATTCTTTATGTTGGCAGAGTGAAAGAGCATTTGCTTTGACCCTTGCTGAAAGTATATAGATATTTACTAAAACGGCAACTTACCATTTAAACCAAAACTTAATGTTTCCAGAATTTTGAAATAGTTCTTTTCTTTCTAACTGCATAATAGATTTGTAACTCAAGGAAGAAATAGTACTTCAGCTGTTTTGAGGAGAAATGTGGCTTTGTCATGTTCAGTATTTTTGTCTTTAGGCTCTGGAGTGTTAACATTGTTAGTTTTTGTTGTTGGGTTGTTAGGGTTTGGTTTTATATTCATATTTTCTTGCAGAAGACCCCATCTTGGCAGTTCTGTACAATTTTATTGTCCTAGAAACCCATCCTGTAATCTGAGCATTTGTGTATAGGGCTCATCAGGGAACAGAAGATAAAATCTTTAAATCTGTTCTATAAACAGAAAAGCATCCTTAGTTAAGAATGTTCTGCAATCATACTTAAATTCATGGTAATTAAATAAATAGGAACGTGAGACAGATAAATGCTTAGATCAATTAAAATCATAATCCTTTGTTAATGTATTCCTTTAAGAGGTAATTTCGAGTGTTGGTTTCAAACTGCTTTCCATGAGACATTTCAGTTATTGATAGATGTTATGCCTATTTCTTCTAATCATGGTATTTGTCTCATACAACACAGTAATCCAGAAGTATGTTACCTTAACTGGAAATAGAGATACTGGAAAATACAGCTCTTTCTTCGACTCCAGGGGACTAACTTTGGAAAGCCTATAACACAGTAAAATCCCTGACAGTAAAAGAAAATGTGATATCCAGAAGAAAAGACACGCATGCATGTGAACACACAGCTAGCCTACCTTACATGCTTTCCCACAGTTGTTTGCCTGAGGTCAGCTTCTTTTGTCCAGCCAGAGAAGCTTCTCAGGCAGCAAGGAACAAAGAAACACTCTGCTGGAAGATGCTGTTGCTCTCTTTAAATTCCCCCTGACCTGAAGGTTTCCATTCAGATAATTCTCAGAGTGCACTCTATCTGTTAGAAGTAATAAATCATCTGAAATTTTAGTTTAGAAGAAAGGTGGTGCCACCAGTGCTGTGATTAATCTAGAAAATGTTTCTGTGCCAAGAAATTTAAAGGAGGCTAGAGAAGGCAAATAATAGTAAGGATAATTCAATGTAGTTTAATCTGATTTCTCAGAGATACTGATGGAATAGCTGCGCTCAAATTATCCACTGAACCTGTTGAGCTGAGGCCTGTGTGCATTGGATATAAGTGGCTAAAAGACTTTAATGATACAGGAAAGATATTAAGCCCTATAAAGCATGAAAATGACTACAATTCATTTTGATAGTTGAATCGAGATTGAGGCTAGATACTATTTTGTCTGAACAGCATGGCCATTCTTAGTCATAGACTGGTTTTGATATTTTCATAGCAACAAGTTTCATGGCATAAGCACAGAAGTATGAGGCCTTTCTTGATGCATTTAAAATACTAGTAAAACATATTGCACTCCAGCACTGTGTTAAGAAGGAAGAGGTATTACTAACATTTCCCCTCCTCTTGACATAATGACTGAAAACACAGGTGCAACTAAGCTTTCTGCATTCTTCTTTTGTTTGAAATGTTTGAAATGTAGCTTGTGCAGATCTTTCCTGCTAAGAAATACTCCTGGTCATGCTGTTCATGTCATGGAATATCTAGAACAGTACACCAGGCAGGTAGAACTCTATCACATTATCCAGATGGCTCAGCTAGCGATCTCTGGGAGAACTGATCACCAATCTAACAAACAGTGTAACAACAGAAAAGTTTTGGGGAAGACTGTAAATGGGGAAAGTGAGGATCACAGAAAGCAAAAGTGTATTAAAAGTGAACTTCTGCAGAAGACAGGGGGAAAGTCATAAGGGAAAATAAGGGGGTTGGTAAAGCCAAGTGACTAAAGTAACAAGAGCAAAATTCTCCCATTTACTATTTTAAGAATTTGCCCTGAGACATAAAGGAGAAAATGCATTAGCAAACAAGTAAGAAACTGTGGAATTGAGAGGTAAAGCAGTATCAGAATTAAATGTTGAAATTCTTAGAAGTAATTGCAACAATGGTGTCCTTAAAATTTGCAGTGATTTTTCAAATAAGTATGCAGATATTGATGATCAGAATATGGTCTGTTATATTCAGTATATCCACATAGATCTCTTCTGGAAACTGTGTGGAAAAAAGCCAATGATTATCAATGGCATATTTGATCTTCAGTATCAGCCATGTATACTATAGCATGCTGAGTGTTCTTTTGCAGACAAATTAGAGGATAGGAAGTGGGAGCTTTATCTATTTTCTTTATAGTCAGTGTGAATAAACTGACATAATGCATGTTAGATGTTTTCTTTTGAGGGAGACAAATTGCTCTCTAAAGGTGCCATGACTGAATCCAGCCTGGGAGAACTCCCTGCTTGCACTGCACAGTACTTCCATGAATGCTGGTCTGTATTTCAACCAGAAGAGGGGTTCTTCTCACAACAATGCATACTTTCCACACAGTGATATGAATGGTGTTTTATTTCAAGTTGATAATAATTTTCTTAAAATAAATGAATTACAAATAACATTTCATTTTCAAAAAAATGAAACTGTGACATAGGGATTAAGGTAAACAAAAAAAGTAAACAAGCTTTCTTACTAAAAGATTAGATATCTTTCAGTTATTACAGTTCTAATATCTGCATTTCTAACTCAGAATAATTTGAATTAAGAAGGAACCATACAGTCTTTCTTGTTATGTGTCAGATTTAAAACCGATAGATGTCCCAGTTTCTTTTATTCTTTACTGTGGCTTGGATTCTGCCAGAGCATAACAGGGGATAAGAACATGAGAACATGAGCTGACAAAAAAAAAAGCATGTGCATTACAGATGTTAATTCATGTAATACTGGGGTAATTGCCACTAGCTTGGGAGGGGGTATACGGGATTGAGGGGATCATAATGCCTACAAAAACATGGGCTTAAAAATAAAGAATGTTTCCATTTTTAACAAAAGTAAACTTGTAATGTACTATCAGTGTCACATTTTAAAGTGCTAAAGACCTTAGATTTTTTCAGCAGCTCTGGTCTTGTGGGCAGGTCCCAGAGGATTGGGAGTTGGCCAGTGTGACCCCTCCCTATAAAAAGGGGAGGAAGGAAGACCCCAGAAACTACAGGCCTATCAGCCTGAGCTCAGTGGCAAGGAACGTCATGGAGCAGATGATCCTAAGGGTGTTCACACAGCATATGAAGGAAAACAGGGGGATCAGGCTTGGTCAGCATGGGTTCATGAAGGGCAGGTACTGCTTAACCAACCTGATCTCCTTCTGCAGTAAGGTGGCTCTCCTGGTTGATGAGGGAAAGGCTGTGAACAATGTCTATTTGGACTTAACCATTTGACACTGTCTCCTACAGCAGTGGAGAAACTGGCTTCTCGTGGCCTGGATATGTGGATTCTTCACCAGCTGGATGGTCAAGTCCAAAGACTGGTGGTAAATGTTGTCATACTGAGTTGGTGACCGGTCAGTAGAGGTGTCCCTCAGGACTCAATGTCAGGACCAGTGTTACTTAATATCTTCAGTGATTATGTGGATGAGGAGATTGAGGGCACCATCAGTAAATTTGCGGACAACAACAAGTTGGGTGGGAGTGTTGATCTCCTGAAAGGTAGGGAGGCTATGCAAGACAGGCTGGGTTGATGGGCTGTGGCCAGGCTCAAGGGGGACCTTAATTACTCTCTACAGCTACCTGAAAGGAGATTGCAGCAAGGGGGGGGTTCAGTCTCTTCTCACAAGTAATAAGTGATAGGACAAAAGGAAACAGACTCAAACTGCACCAGGGGAGGTTTAGACTGGATATTATGAAAAATTTCTTCACTGGGAGGGTGGTCAGGCATCGGAACAGGCTGCCCTGGGAATGGTGGAATCACCATCCATGGAAGTGTTAGAAAATCACGTAGATGAGGCCCTTAGTGTTATGGTTTAGGTGGACTTGGCAGTCCTGGGGTAAAACTTGGGCTTAATGATCTTGAAGGCCTTTTCCAACCTTATGACTCTGTGATTTCATATCCAGATTTAGGCAGATGTACAAAACTTGCTCTATTAAAAGTGTAATTGCAGTATATGTGTCACTACTCTAGATTTAGTCAGTAGGATTACATTTATAATGAGAACTTCCCACTCTCAATTTTCCCACAGAATATATTTTTATCTTATTCCAGAGAAATACTCCTATGGTAAACTGCACTGCCAAACTTTTGTCAGAGGTTAGATAAAATGCTCTGAAATCCTGACTTAAGTTTATTGAGCAAAAGGTGCTATCCTAAGGCACTGGAAAAAAAATAATCCCTGGTTTTAAAGGGGGATTTGTTGATAAAATAGCCTTTGTGCAGGATGTTGAATGACAGTTAAGTATTCTGTTCTTTGTACTTGTGCTTATACCCATACGCCTATGGTATTTTGAATCAATTTAACTCACCTCAGATGATTATTTTAATTTCACGGTAAAGACCACAGACATTTTCAAGTTTGGAAGTGATTTGTAGTATTTTCATGTGTTTCAGTCTGTGGTAAATGCTGTTTATTATTTCATAAATTGGCAGATGTGTATCTGCAGACTTGCAGACAACAGTTTACATTACCAGTGCTTGAATTAAAGGATTACAAGTGCTTTATATGCATAGAAATCACTGGCACACACATGTTGGTTCATCTCAGTTTACTTCCTAGGGGAATATGTGCAGTACTTGCATTTAGGAACAGAGTTCTTACTAAGAGTCAGTTAAATGTGTCCTTTTAACTTCTGTGAATGCTTTTGAAATTCACCCTTTATGTGAACTATGTGAAGACAGCCATATTCATTACAGCTGTTTTCTCAGATAGAACTTAAAATTAGCATACTGTGTTGTTTGGTGTGGATTTTATGCGATGTGAAGACTAGTAGAACAAGAGAGAGGAACTGACAAACTGAGAGGAAAAAACTCTGCAGAAAGTTATATATTAAGCAGTTCATATTAATGAAGTCCTGAAAATGTTGGAGGTTTTTTGGAAGATAACCATAGCACATATAAGTAAGGACTATTTGTCACTGTCAGATAAATAAGTATCTATAATTTTGTTATTCTGATCCAACTCAACTCCTGCCTTAAAAAAAAAACAACAAAACCTTTTGCAAAATAACATCACAGGCCTAATATTCTATTTAATATTTAATTGGAGTACTTGACACAAAACAATATTGTAGCATTCAGAGTTGACTTATTTATCCTAGTTGCTTTCATGGCTACTCATTTAATTATTACGTATGCAACCCTATTGCTCTTTCATGTCGATAAGATCATTTCAGAATTTATCTGTCCTCTATGAAGAAGTAATTTATTTAAAAAAAAATTAAAATTTTGCTGGTGTTATGTAGACATCTGTATGGCACAGACCCATGTGAAAGAACAACTGTTCTCTTCAGCTGTTACTTTCTCATGATGCTCGTACTTCTGACAGCCTTTAAGCATCCACAGTGGCATCAGGTTTTGAAACTCGATAGGCAATTCAAAAGCATAGAGGAAAATGGTTATGAAAAACTTTTGCTCCCCGCCCCCCAAAAAAATTTAGCATAACTTAGAACAATTAACATTGGTCCTGTAATCCACTATTTGGATTAATCACTGTAAATTTTTTAATAATAGCTAAAATAAGAATGCAATCAGAAGACCAGCAGTCTTTCATATGGGGTGGAATTTCAAAAGGCTTTGTGATTTTTCATTAAGCTGTTGTTATATAAAATTAAATTTTTATTTATGGTCTGCATCCATGTTCAGATTTAGAGTTATCATAATGTACTGATCTCAGGGCTTTACTGCTGAAACAGAAACAGATGGTTGAGATTAAGATTAAAAGCTAAATGACTGGCCTATGTGGTGTACAGTATCTTCCTGAATAGAAGGGTTGGCACTAGCTGATTTTTAAGGGCCCTTCCAACCAATACCGTTCTCTGATTCTATGATTTCATGAATTCAGATAGCAGATAAACAGATTTGCATTGTGCAACCCAAAGCAAATAAAGATTCAGCTTCCAATGAAATCCCTCCAGTTGGTCCCTGTAGTTCAGTTACCAATTAGCAATGTATATAATTAGCAATTGATAGTTTTGGCTATTCTGTTTGCAAACAATGTCCAATTTTCCAGCAAACATTCAGAATAAAGGGCTTACCATCATCAGATTCAGTGGAGTTGAATCAACCCCCCCATTACTATTGTAAAAAGTACTTTTTTTTTTTAAAAAAAGAGGCCTGTATATGGTTTTCTTAAATGATCAATAATATTTTGCATTAAAAAAAAATACAGATCTGGAAAACAGCAGTATTTACATCAGCTACTCTTTTCAATTAAGCATTAAAGGCCTTATCTAGGTCATGATAGCAAAAAGGAGCATAATCTGATTTACAACCTTCTTTTCCACAATAAAACCAAAATTATATTGCTCTGTGAGATAGAGGACACAACATACATTCAGCCTGGTGTTCATTCATGTGGATCCTGCCAATAGTAAATGTGTGCAGTGAAA